ATATTATATATATATACATATATATATATATATATACATATATATATATATATATATATATATATATATATATATAAAGTCTGTTTGTAATTTGTATTATCCCGAGTGGGACGTTTTTACTAACCCATTTTCTCTTTTATAGGTCCTAAGGGACCATGGGAGGCTTCGTGGAGGTTGACTTTTGCGAACGGACACGCAAGGGTGTCGCACGACTTAGGCAAAACTAGCTAAGTTTATGACAAATGGTATCAGAGCGGGACAAGCACTCATATAAACACCTGGTATACAAACGTGGGGTACCTAGCGTGTAACATCCACCATTTTTGAAAATTTAATAAAAGGTTTGTTTGTAAAAATAAGGATTATTTAATAATTATTTTATATTAAATGATATTATATTAAAAGTTTATGGCTAGGGACCTAAGAGTAAATATTAGAAGTTTGATATAATTTATTAAAGATTCAGATTTAAGTTAAAAAAAAAAATAGTGGACATGTGTCACTACCTAACCTAATGGTGCCACTTATGTTTACTCTAAAAATGACACCTAGCCCCTTTCATACACCTTGCAACTTTTGCATTAGCCAAAACCAAAAAAAAAAAAAGAGAATTAGATGAAATGTTAAAGAAAACAAACCCGAAGAGTTGCAGCCAACGTGAGTTTGAGAAAAGAAGAGAAGGGAAGAAGAAGAAGAAGAAGAAGAGTTTCAAAAAAGAAGAGAAGGGAAGAAGAAGAAGAAGAAGAGGAAGAAGGAGAAGAAAAAGAAGAAGAAGAGCTTGAGGTTTTTATCAATTTTTCTACATTTGGGATTCAAATAATTTTAAGGTAAATATTCTAACCCCATCCTACAGTAACCTTAATCTCTGTTTCCATTTTTATTCTGTAAAATTCGAAAGATTTCAACTGAGACCCAGATCTTCTTTCGTTTTGATACAAAGCTAGGAATCTGTAATTTTTCGGTAATCTGACCTCTATGCAATATTTCGGTCATAACATTTTGTAATAAACTCTAATTTAGACAAAACCTATTCCATTTGAAAGTAGACAAAAAAATATTTATTTTGATACTAAGATCGAATGATTTGGAGTTTAAATGCCTACTAAGACTTCTATTTAAATTAACCCTACAGATTTTGCAAAACAGGGACTGAAATTTCTGACCTCTTGTTGCTTAACTACTTATAACTTTCTGTTGTGAATTCAGATTCATACAAAGTATGATTTATTCAAAGCTAGACTCAAAATGCTTTCTGTGTATTCTTGATTTGAAATTTTTAGAGTACAATTGCTAACTAAAACATTTGCTTTCTTCGATCCTATGGATTCAGTAAAACAGAGCTAATATTTTCAGACCTTTAACTATGAAATTATCAGTAACTCCCTGTTGTAAATTCCAATTCTTGTAAAACATGATTTGCCTAAAACTAGATTGACAAAGCTTTCTAATGACACCTATTTTGTATAAATTGGAGCATAATTGGTTATCCAAATAGTTCATACAATGTTCCTATCAAATTCTGCCAGAATCGAGCTTTGGTCGATTTCGGCATTCCTTATTACTTCTCTTTAGAAATCGATTTCGGCAAAAACTCTTACTTTAGTTAAGCTTTACATTATTACCTTAAATTCCTGTATACTTTTGTCCTTTATTTATTTGTACATCTGCAGCTATCATCTAAAGTTAATGTTTGCATCGTAATGATTCGGCATATGCATCCCATTGTTTCGCATTTTGCTTTCAATATGTGCCTCTTCCAGTTTCATTTCTTTGGACATTGAATTCATCTAACTTTCTTATTTCAATTTAGCTATATGTGATTTCTTGAAATCCTTGTATGTCCTTGCTTTTGTTTCCTTTCAAATCTAAATACATTTGTGAAAGATTATGTTTGTATCGTATTGACTCGAAAGGCATATGTACATTTCGTTGTTCCGCATGTGCTTCCAATATATGCTAATTTCATTATTCATATTGTCCCTTTGTACTCTGGTGTTTGTGGGATAAATGTGAACCTTTGCTAGAAATGGTAAATGGAGTTATGCTTAGAGCCCGCGATGCTCTGTCGGCCCCCTATGACTTCACTCAGACGTGGGTGGATGGAGCTCCCAGATATGGGAGACTTATGTTTGGTGGTCATTCAGAAATGGATGGACCATATTATGTTATGATCCAACTTCACCTTCTATGTTTTTGATATGATATCCAAAGCTTTGGCTATGTTTCTATGCATTCTTTGGATAAGAATGAAATGAATGCATCGTCATGTGACATTTGAGCTTCTATTCATGTTTTGTTCTTTGATATGTTTCCGAAATGTTATAAGTCTTTGTTATACTTTGAAAACTACCATATGTCATCGATATGCTCCTTATGCCAATGATATGCTCCAATTACCTTTCCTCGATTATATGAACAAAACGTGCTTCGAATGATACGACATTGTAATTCTGCATTCAAACAAAACATACTACTATTTCATCTTGTATCTTTGCTTTGTATTTTGATACCTTATTTGTTTGAAACCTGTCCTCTTTGCTATGGATATGTTAGTCATTTGCTGAGCTTTATATGCTCACCCCGTTGCTATATAAATTTTTCATGA